CTGCTGTTTCCATTAAGTAAGAAATGCTATTAAAGTCACGCGTGAATACGTTTGTTCTCGCGAGAAGTCATTACAAACATGGCGGCGATGGATGTAAACACATAGCATGTTGCTACCACGGCACTAGCGCTCATCATCAGAGGAGACGTCGGCGTCTTTTATCGAGGCTTTCCAGAGACAAGCCCCTACTTGGGAGCGACTACGTATGCTGTGTTTTTTGCGAAATTGTAGTCGATGAGTTTACTACTTTTTTTTACAACTTCTGTGATATTACTACTACTTACTTCCTGTTTTCTTCTTCGTCGTCGTCTTTTTCGCCAGTAGAAACAGCCGGTTGTTGATCACGTGACTCCCGTGATGCGAAAAAAAGTGTTTCCATTGAAGTTTTGCAAAAAACACCAATTTCGATACGGCCGAAAAACCACCTCATCCTAGCGCAAAAATATTTTGTCGAAAAACGTTATTTTTTACGAAATTGATGTGTTTCCATTGAGCAAATTTATTTTCGAAATTCTAATTTGCGCATTTTCGTGGTCAATCGAAACGCAGCTACTTTATAGTTTTTAGCCATGACACTTTGTGTTTTAGTCTCAAGTGGTACCCATCATCATCATCATCATCATCATCATCATCCCCAGATAAAGTGGTGATTAGACCTGTCGTAATAAACAATAAATCAATTAAACGTATGATAAATTAAATTGAGGAAGATAAATTAAAATGGAGACAATAATTTTCATTTGCCTGTTTTTTGTTTTCATTGTGTCTCCCTCTTTTTTACTTCTTAGCGTAGAGAGCAGTGAACTCAGGTGTCAGGTGTTTGYCAGGTGATGGTCTCTAACCTCTGTAGCATGAGAGCCTGTGAACAGGCATTTAGCCAGAGGAGCGTCTTCAGTTTTCTGACGCCTTCATACAGCTGGTGATGCCTTGGGATTGCCGATAGCTGTTTTCTCTTTTTATACCATGTAAATTTTAATGTAAACTTGTGTAAACAGGGGGGTTATATCATTATATTATTTTAAACTGGTCTCCAACCATGTTATCGTTTATCGCAATAATTTCTGAGACAGTTTATAGTTCAGTAAAATTTGTTATCGTGACAGGCCTAGTGGTGACATGTTTGAGTAAAAAATGTAATAGACAATACTTTTAAAGTAATTAGATGTTTTCATGTGCCACAAGCAACAATTTTTAGTAGAATAAGGCCAGCATTTGAAAGTGGCTTGTCAGAGACGCCCTTAAGAGTTTTACCTTCACCGGCATCCTCGTCCTTATCCGTGCGCTCGGACTGCAGCGATGCTCCGTCATTGTTGCTGTCGACTTCCTCATCATCATCGGAGTCATCGCCACCTGTGGTGAAGAGAGCACGGGAGCTRTGAAGCCCTGGTGCATGCTGGGTAAAACAAACAATGTAAGACTAAACTGTTTAGCTTTGGAAGTCAACTGGATTCAAGATGGCTGCCAATTGACCTTAATAAAAAGAAAAAAAACACAAAGTGCCTGTGACATGCACATAAAGAAAATACAAAAAGACAAAAAACAGCTTTATTTTAAGTATCTTGGCATAATATACATGATTTTATCCATTTTGTCATATAACTCTCAAATTTTCTTTTGAATTTGGCTCAGTCAAAAGCTACGTTCACACTGCAGGCAAATCCGACCCAAATCCGATTTTTTTGACCCATCTGACTCATATCTGATTTTTTTATGACAGTTTGAATGAGACAAATCCGATTTTTTCAAATCCGACCCAGGC